AAATTGTGTATTTCAATACAGTGGATTAAAATCAGCTCTGAGAGATGCTTTAGAGCTTGATTTTTCTTTTAAAGCCAAGAGCTTCTTAAAGTAATCAGTACCTCCAAATTCACCCCATTTACTAATATTGTCAAGCCTTGAGAAATGAATGCCTTGATATTTCAATGGACACAGAAGCCGTCACAGATTCTATGTGGTACTTACTGCTTACAGCCAAGCTCCTATCCTGCAAATCAATATTATGAGCATATATTTGCTCTGAGAGGGAGAGAACTGAGTAATCAATTCTAACCAACTGGCTTTATTACAGCATTTACAAAACTAGTCATCAGTTAATGAATAATAATTTTGTTGCTAAAAGAACCATTAAAACAGTATTGGAGGACACATTGCAAATAATTTACACCACATAGACATTCTAAGTATAGAACGCTAAAGCAACAGTCTACAGTATTTGCAATACTACTACAAAATGATTTTAAAAATATTTTTGCTTAAATAATGGAAGAGATATAACCCTCACCACAAAGCAGATAGGTAGGTGCTAACTACAGTTGGTTTTAAGAATAACAGTTCTTGAAATCCAAACTTTTCTTCAGCACTTAGGATTTAACAGTTTGCTATCTCTGTCTGCCAGAGACTGAAAGCCAATTCATTTTAATGAACGAATCAAGTTTTTCTTCCTGGACAGAGATACTTACTTTCTAAAAGAATTTTCTTCTGCAGTTTAAGTTGTAAAATACTATGCAGTTATTCTGGCTAAAATTCCTTTTTTTCATCTGAATCTATTTTCTGAGTACTGCTAGGCAATACCAAGCATGTCATTCCTCTGAATTGCAATTTCTTTCACTGTTCAACAGGTAACTCCACCCCCACTGCCCACCTTAAAACAAATCACTCATTCTCCAACCTAAAACTGACACAGCTGTTATAAAAATCTTGCTGTCAACTGCCAACACCCCCCCCCAACAGCAAGAAAGCTCACGACAAGCATCATCGCTTTGCCACCATTTACTTCAGAAAACTTTAAATCTAGCACTTGACTTTACTCTGCTGGGAGTTTCTGACAATCTGCAAAACAGTTCTTCCACTATGACCAATTCTGAACAGTCAATTTATGAAAATTGTAGTGAAAATAGTCCACTGCACAGAGATTTGTAGATGCTGAGTATAAGTATGCAAATCTCCTGCGGCACTGCAGTGCAAGGTGAAGTTTCACTCTGCACTGATCTAAGCGTGTCCTGCTCCTGAGCAGGGTAAGAGCATCCACCCTCAGCTTCCAGACACATGTCCCTGCCTGCCTGCGCCTGCTCTAGTGCTTGTGTAATACTGTGAGTGGGACTAGAAAACTGATCCAACTGAAAACTAATCACCTTTTTTGAGTGAGCCCATACTTCAGCTGGTTTAAAATGATCACCAAGTTGTTCCTTCACCTTTTTACCAGCAAAGACAGAGAACAAGGAAGTCCTAAAACATTTGCATGGCCACAGAATGTGGCTCTTGTTAGAGAGACTCTACAGAAGTATGAAGATCTGGCTGCAAGTAGGGTGAGCAGGTATAAAGGTAAAAATCAAAGAACTGAAGAAACACTTTTATTACTTAGAATGTTTAAGACAGTTAGTGGGAGAGCCAGAGTGAATTTTGTGTACTCATATAGAGAAAACAGGCCAAAAAAAGCTTTAGAAAAAGAGATTAATGAAAGCCTTCTTTCAAAAGAAATATAGTATTGTAACAGATCAAAATGTGATCCATTTTGTAAGTGACCTGTGCTCCTCTTTTTCCATCCTTCCACGTTGCAGGATACAACACTCATTCCACTCCCACAAATAAATAAAAAAGAAAAATATCAGAGAAGAAGAGTCACACTGTGTCTCAAGGTGGCAGTGAGAGAAACGCTGTCCCCCAGTGCTCCACACCGCCTGCAGCAGCACAACCATTCCGTGGGAAGCGGCAAACAGCAGGAGGCGAGGTTGTACATTCGAACTGTAGCTTGCTACAATAGAACTAGCATAATTCAACCCTGCAAACCTCCAGCTACCAGCTGGAAAGCAGTAAAAATCTCTACAGATCATTTCACCTATGCAGAAAATCCTTTCTAGACCTCCAGACTGGAGAGCAGCCTCATCTTCAGGCTCACCAGAGATCACCTGGCTGTCTTGCCAGGCAGCAAATTGCATAATGCCTCTCTGATATGCTTCATCGTAAAGTTATGTACAGAAGCAGGGGAAAATAGCGGGGGAAGGAGAAAGTGGCAGCACCCACTAAGTAAAGGATCCAGAAGTGCAAGACAGTGGGACTCAAAGTGCTGTCAGCTTCATGTAGGAACTCAGGACACTAGACATCTCTCAAGTTCAGAATGTCGTAAGTTTAAGCTCAAAATTTCTGCAAAAGCTATCCACCAGTTGTCTGGGATTTGGGGGGTTTTTTTTGTTTGTTTTGGGTTTTGTTTTTTTCTTTGTTTGGTTTTTTCGTTTTTTTTAAACTTTTAGTAAATACACCTTCATATCCTGCTGTGTTAATCACACAAAGAGTGGCAATGAACATGATGCATCTTGAGATTCAGCTCACCGCTTGCCTATACAAATGGAATCACAAATGTCAGGACCTAGATCTTTCTGCATAAAGAAAGATCTTTGTGTATAAAGCTTGAAGTTGTCTCTATTTCTTGTGACATCTTAGACATGCATATTTACTGATTACAACCCAAAGAAGTTACAGCCACAGAGCAGTTTCATTTTGTTGACAGTGCCTGCCCACACGTGGTCAAAGCAATGTGTAGTTCAGGCATACTGGTGGATTTTATGTTTAATACAAAGTCTAGTAAAGCAGCCTATACTAAGCTTGAAAAACTTTATCATCTCTGACTCACAGAGGTCTCTTGGTTGGCTGACTCACTAACTTTTAAAAAATCCCTAGCCTTACTGCTGTCCTGCAGAGTACCCTGGAGTGGTGTGTGGGCTATTGCACTTGAATGGAGAAACTGGTCAGTGGAGTCACAGTCTATAAAGGGAAACTCATGAATGTTCCCTTGTTTCCCTCTCTTAATACTTACTTTTGCAGAACATGACAAAACATGTTATCTTTAAAACCTTCTTTGCCCTCTGTGCAATTTGGCTAAAATTGATCTTTTGGTGATACATCAGCTGTTTGCATAAATTCTGTTTCCAAAGGAAATCAGTCTAAAAAGAGCGAGAAAGACTTCTTAAGAAAAAAAAAAAAAAGAAGTAGTATAGGTAACTTATCAAATCAATAAATCCCACTACATGTGCTGCTTCTCCTTGAGAGAACGTGAAAGAAAGAGGAACAAGACGATGAATGATAGCTAGTTACATTTACTTTGGAACTACAGAGGTTACTAAGTTAACTGTGGTGGTGAGTCCAACATAAGATCATCTGTACAGCAGCTCTCTTAAAGGCTACAGAGACTGGATCATGAGCGAGTATCCTTTACTGCCAGAAATGTTCCAGGAGATGCATGAAAATCCAAATGGAAAAACCCAATATTTGTAATAAATAAAAAAAAAAACCCTAACTCTGAGTTTTCTCCCTCTGTTCATAAATTTAATATGTACATTGGAACAAAACCAGAAAAGAAAACAAGAACGAAGAAAAAGGCCAGATATTTTAAATTGCTCCTCCTATTAATAGCACTTCCTGTTTTCCATTTTGGCCACACTTGTTTCTCCAACTATTCTGCTTATCCAGCTGTAGGTTGTTAAGGTTGTATCTTGCAGCTATTATGTCTCAGAGGAAATGCTTGGATAGGCGATTTAGGGTTTTTTTTCCTATTTAATATGGGAAGGTTTTGTGGCTTTCAAAAACAAGTAAGACTATTTCCAGTCACAAAAAAAAAAAAAGCATCAAACCTGCAAAAACAGTAGCTTCACTGAACAGCTGAGGTTGAACAGCTCCTTCATATGCCTTGAAGTATAGAAGAGCATTTCACATGTGTGCTTACACAACATGCTCTTGAGATCACTTCGTTTTGAAGTACACTGAATTTGAGAGGCATCTATGCCCATACACAGCTTACCCCATTGTCAGTCAAATTACGTTGCAAGCAATGCATTAATGACGGAAGCACTTTTGTTATGTGCTGTATCCAGTTAATCAAGGTCTCTCTAAGATGCAAGAAAAATGCCTCAGTGACATCAATGTCTCAGTGACATTATGTTTTACTACATTTACTATAATTTACTGTTCCCTCCTGTTCCCTTATACTTTTTCTTATTTCTTATACAATGGCCCAAGAGATCAGTCAGAAGGTAGAGCTTGCAGAGCTCAAGCTGTGAAATTCAAACTTTAGTGAGCCAGAGACCATTATCTTACAGACACAAGCTTCTCTGAGGCGTTCTTGGCCTCAGCATGTGCTGTACTACCTGGCTCACATAAAGTGAGATGCATAAAATGATGCACCTGCATGCTCACGTGCAGTGATTTTTTTCTAGTCTGCGGTTCTTTAGCTCTATAGAATTTCAGGAAATAAATATGAGAACAGGGGTTAACTATGGCTCAAGTGGGAAATGTCACAGACTGCAGCAGGATACATGAGGTCAAATTCAGTCTGGTATGAAGTACACACTGCAGAACTCAACAGAAGTCATAAAAGAAAATTTAATTCCTTCTGCTAGGCCTGCATTTTTCTAGTCCATAGTTCTATACTCCAGCATGGAAAGATGAAATCGGGGCATCACCTTTTCTTCAGAGTAATACTTGACGATACATTTTTTTCCCAGGACTCATTAAAATAGTACACATAAAAATAATTTCTTCTCTGGTTAGTTAATTTGACACAATCAGAACTATGTTACATACGAAGCTGAAAAACAAAAACTCAGCAGCTGATGAGCTTGGCTTGACCAAAAAGTAGGTAGGAAACTACAAAGACAGTACAAGCAGAGCACCGGGCATATATGTCTGCTCAGTAGACAAAATAATCCACACTTCATAGGCTACATCCACTAACAACATTCATGGGAACAAATAAACACAGACTTTACCATCATATCGGCTGGGAGAATCACATGCTTTCTGAGGGGTTGCCACTCGCAGGAATATCTGTTGCCTCCATGAATGCCGTCGAGTCCTTACAGGGCTGTCCGCACCAATGGCCTGCTGGCTGTGTTTGGATTCATAGTCGCTAAAATTGTGGAACACAGAATGGCTTGTGAGTAGGTTACCTGAATCTGCTAGTAACAGTGACACATCCTTCAGTGAATACCATAACACGAACCATCAACTAAGGAGTGCAGTGTGCTGTGCACATGCTGGGTCAAGCTCTTAGTGTTAGGTAGGTGAAGCTTGCTCTGTGGCAGCAGGCTTATACAAGGCTGCAAACGTCACTTAGGTTGACCAAAAGGGGCTGACAGCTCTGTGCAGTCTGCTTTCTCCAGTTTTAATTGATTTTCAGCTTTCTTTGCAGCAGTGTATTAAACACAATTTATTAAAGACACATACACCATAATGTACCTTCACCATTCTGCTATTTAAATGCCATCCACAAAATCTAGCAATTATTCATAGGAGACACAAAGAACTGCTGATGCCTTTTATCAGCACACATCAAGGAGCTTTATAAACACCAACTAAACTGCCAACCTTCTGTGAATTGCGTATGTAATATATTCCTTCACAACACAGATTTGGAGCAAAACTTTTAACCTTTGTGTTCACAAGTCACCATCTGTGATATTACTCCTTTGATGTAATCCACAAACTACATACAGAGGTTTTTATTCAGAATATTAAATGAAATAGTGAACAGCAATGCTGTCTTCCTATTAAAAATCCCACTAATAACTTTCACCCGTTACATCTTTAAACTATTCATTGCTTTATTCCAGCCATTGACTAAATGGTTGCATGAGTCTTTGTTGAAGCTGAAAGGGATAAATAAACTTCAAATAGCTCTGGCAGCAACTGTGAGGAGCATTTTACAGGCCATCCTCTCCTTCCAATTTGAGGACACTGACATTGCTTTGGACGAACCTTGTATATTCTCTTAACTGAAA